GAGCCTGCTTTGGATTCTGTGTCTCCCTCTCTCTCTGTACCTCCTCCGCTCACACTTTGTCACTCTCTCTGTCTCTCAAAAATAAATAAACATTAAAAAAATTAAAAATTAAAAAATGAATGTTTATTTTTGAGAGGTGGGGGTTAGGGGCAGAGAGAGGGATACAGAAAATCCGAAGCGGGCCCTCGCTGTCAGTGCAAAGCCAGGTTTAGGGCTCGAACCCACAAACTGTGAGATAATGACCTGAGCTGAAGTCGGACGCTCAACTGACTGAGCCACCCAGGTGCCCCAAGTAATGATTTGTTTTTAAGAGAGGACTAGCAGATTGATTATAGGAGAAGCCCCCAACAAACACAACTGACAGTGCCCGTATCTAGGCTTCGACCAGTTTACACTACAGGTCTGCTTCCTATTATTGTGTAGGAACTTTTTATGTGACTTCCTTCTCTTGCAGCTTCTAAATTGTAGAGGTCAGGTACCTCTATATATTATTAAAATATATTAAGGTGCTCACTTCAGCAGCACATATACTAAAATTGGAACGACACGGAGAAGATTAGCATGTCCTCTGCACAAGGATGATACGCAAATTTGTGAAGCATTGCATATTTTTCACTGAATTTGATCACTGAATTCTGCTTCTGAAACCAATATTGCACTGCATATTAACTTACTAAAATTTAAATTAAAAATAAAATATTTTAAGGAGAGTAAAATGCCTGACAGTCTACATTTTTGTTTTAAAATGTAGGGGAGCCTGGGTGGCTCAGTCAGTTAAGTATTGGACTCTTGATTTCGGCTCAGGTCATGACCCCAGGGTCGTAAGATTGAGCCCCTACTGGAGATTCTGATTCTCTCTCTCTCTCTCTCTCTCTCTCTCTTTCCCTCCCCCCACCCCACTCGAGCATTCACACACTCTCTCTAAAAAAAAGTTAAAATTAAAAAAAAAAAAAAATCTGTGTAGGGGCGCCTGGGTGGCTCAGTCAGTTGAGTATCCAACTTTGGCTCAGGTCGTGATCTCACATCTTGTGAGTTCGAGCCCCACATCAGGCTCTGTGCTGACAGCTCGGAGCCTGGAGCCTGCTTCGGATTCTGTGTCCCTCTCTCACTCTGCCCCTTTCTCACTCATGCTCTGTCTCTCTCTCAAGAATAAATAAAACACTAAAAAAAAAAAAAATCTGTGTGTATGTACATAGGAAACAGTCTGGCAAGAGAAACACTAAACTGTTCATAGTAGTTTGGGGAAAACATTCTCACATTTCAGTACTGTTTCAGCATTTTTACAATTAGCACATACTGTTTTTATATTAAAACTGATGTGTGATTGATTCCATTTTTATGCCATTCTGGAAAAGGCAAAACTACAGGACCAGAGAAGAGCACTCCTTACCAGGATTGGGATTACGGGAAGGTGACTACAAAAGGAGACAAAGGAGCTTTTGGGGGTGATAGAAATGTTTGATATTTGGTTGATCTTGGTACCAGATACACGTCTATAGGAGTTTGTTAAACTATATGATAAAAAAGGTATATTTATATATAAATTACATGTCAACAAACCTGACTTTAGAAAATGAAATATAGGGAGAAAATATAGAAAGCAAGGACAATTTTTTTTTTAATGTTTATTTTTGAGACAGAGAGAGACAGAGCATGAACGGGGGAGGGTCAGAGAGAGAGGGAGACACAGAATCTGAAACAGGCTCCAGGATCTGAGCTGTTAGCACAGAGCCCGATGCGGGGCTCGAACTCACGAGCCTTGAGATCACGACCCGAGTCAAAGTTGGGCGCTCAACCGCCTGAGCCACCCAGGTGCCCCAAGGACAATTTTTTAAATAATTTATTTATTTTGAGAGAGAGACAGAGACAGAACACGAGGTGGTGGTGGGGCACAGAGAGAAGGAGAGAGAATCCCAAGTAGGTTCCACGGTGTCAGCACAGAGCTGAGATTCTATCCCATGAACCATGAGACCATAACCTGAGCTGGAACCAAGAGTCAGATGTTTGACTGAGCCACCTAGGTGCCCTCAAAAGCAAGAACAATTTTAAAAATAATTTCAATTATACAAGTAATAAAATAGCTCATTATGCTTTTTAAAATAATTAGAATATTACAGGTAAATCTAAAGTCTTGTGTGTCATGAGTCTCATCCTTCCCTCCTTCCAAGAGGTAATCACTGATGTATGTTCTTGCAAATCTTTTTTAGAAAGTTAATAAAGTATGTGGCGTCAGAAAATATATAGCACTGGGTTTTTATGTGCACACGTGTATGCTCTTTGTTACACTGATCATTTAATGTGGTACCCTATTCAACACCTTCACTCATTTTTTTTATGTCTGTTGATAAAGATCTACTTCAATCAATCCAAATGTAGTATTGATTTTTTTTCCCCCTTCACGTTAATGGTCGTCATGCTGTACCTTATTCTGCAACTCTTGTCACTCAATGCTTTTTGGTGTCTAATTCACTCCTGGCAGCGCAGCAGATGGCGTTCCACTTTATGAACACACAACGCTCTGCTAATCCGTTAGCAGAAGAGGAGGTTCTTCCCAATTTTTCTCTTAATAAGGGAAGCTCTGCCTCCAGTGCTCGCCTGGTGGGGCCCCATCCGGGTCGATGGCTAGGGGTGGCACAAGTTTGTGCGTTTTCAATTTTAATAGGGTGGGATTCGTGTCTTCCGCAGACAGGTACCCAGAGCCGCCCAGAAGCGGATCTCCCGCGCAGCATACAACAGGTGCCACCCATGCCTACTGCAGCTGGCGACAGCTTCTCCCGCCCTCTCCTACAAACGCTCTTCCCTGCCACTCCCTCTGCGCCTGCCGGCCCCTTCCCAGCAAGCACCGCTCATATTTGCATATCAATTTACCTCCTTGCCTTTACTACTATATAAAAACCCAAAGGACAAATCATAAGTCTTTTTGTGAAGATTGCCCTCCGGGCCAGAATGTCTTGCAGTTCCTCCCCTTACCCAGAGAAACAAGAAATAGGAAATTACTTCAGCTTTGTTTTCACCTTTAGCAAAAGAGGGATTCGCCAACGCTGCCACCCTGCCTTAGTTCCTGTCAAGGCAAAAAGGGCTTCTGTCGTGAGTGGCACACGTAGGGCAGCTCCATTGCTCTTCGTGCGGAATCGACATCAAGAGATTTCGGAAGCATAATTTTTTGGTACCCGGGCAGCTGGTGATCGTTGGTCCCGGCGCCCCTGTTTGAAGCAGTGCGTTAAGAAAGACTTTCAAACCCGGTTTTGCTTGTATGGCAATGTTGTAATTACGAGCGCTGTTTGTTGTTCCTCTTTTGGGGGTTAAATGCTAGTATGTGAAATGGTAACTGGAAAAAAATCTCTACGCACGTCTTTTTCTAGGAAGTCAATCAGTTACTGAAAAACGTCAAGGAGTTGTGATCGCCAGGGCGTATTCACAGCAGCGTTGGTTGTGGAAAAGTTGCTCAGGTGATGGCTGACGTAGGAAGAGCGGCTGTTTTCCGTATCACAGGTTAAGGAATTGAGGTTTAAACCAAACAAGTTACAAGTTTACTTAAGAGTACTCTGAATTACTCAGTGAGAATATCGGGCTTCCACCTAGGTACCTGTCTACAGGGATGATTGAATCATCACACATAACTTATTTTGTAAAATAATGTTCCCCCTTAACCAGGACTATATGATATGTATGCATATATCTATGCCTTTCTAAAGCTGAGTTAGGGCTGCTGGGTGGCTCAGTCGGTTAAGCGTCCGGACTTCGGCTCAGGTCATGATCTTGCAGTACGTTTAGGCCCCGTGTCAGGTTCTGTGCTGACAGCTCAGAGCGTGGAGCCTGCTTTGATTCTGTGTCTCCCTCTCTCTCTGCCCCTCCCCTGCTCACACTCTCTCTGTCTCTGTCTCTCAGAAATAAACATTAAAAAAAAAATGCAGTATATGATACATCTAATACAAAAGACATGTTAGTCAACTGTTTTATAGTAAAGCTTCTAGTCAACAGAAGGCAATTTGGGGGGAGTCAAAAGTTATACTGGGTGAGGAGTTATACTATTTTTTTTTTTTTTACAGTGGGTAAATGGTGGGAGGGTGGCACCCTTAAGCTCTGCAATGTTCAAGGTCAACTGTAGTAGTGATAGATCCAGTGCCTGACTTGACAAGGCTTAGTGAGGGGAGAGAATAGCAAACTGAGTACTACTGTGCTGAATTTGGCTGGGAGGAGGAGATCTGGGAAAGCTTTCCTGAAGCAAAGACTTTGTAACTGAAACCTGAAGAAGCAATAGAAGACCCCCACACAAAGTTGTGGGGGGGAAGGGCTGTTTAGGCAGAGGCAAAGTCTTGAGGGTGGAGCCAATGTGCCGCAGACAGACCAAGAGCTGAAAGACCAGAAAGGCCAGTATGAAACCAGCCGGGTGGCAGCCTGAAGAGGCCACTGACTTCTGGTCTCACAGGCCTTGGATGTTCCTTTGCAGTACTTTTTTTTTTTTTTTTTTTTTTTTATAAAGCATAAGGGATGAAGAGTTATCTCCACCATGTATCAGCACACTTTTTCTGTAAAGAGGCCAGATGGTGTATATTTTAGGTTTTGTGGTCATATGGTATCTACTAGCCACTCAACTCTGCTGTTGCAAAACAGTAAGAGACAATATACAAACAAGGGAGTGTAGCTGTGTTCCAATAAAGTTTTACCTACAGACACTGAAATTGCAATTTCATATAATTTTCGCATGTCATGAAATAATATTATTTTGATTTATTTTTAAAATCCTGCGAGCCATTTAAAAATGTGAAAACCAGGGGTGCCTGGGTGGCTCAGTCGGTTGATCATCCGACCTCAGCTCAGGTCATGATCTCATGGTTCATGAGTTCGATCCCCGCATCGGGCTCTGTGCTGACAGTTCAGAGCCTGGAACCTGCTTTGGATTCTCTCTCTCTGCCCCTCCCCTGCTTGTGCTCTGTCTCTCAAAAATAAATAAACGTTAAAAAAAAATGATTAAAAAAAATGTGAAAACCAGGGGTGCCTGGGTGGCTCAATTGGTTAAGCGTCTGACTTCTGCTCAGGTCATGATGTTTGAGCCCTGAATCGGGCTCGCTGCTGTCAGCACAGAGTCTGCTTCGGCTCCTCTGTCCCCTCTTTCTATGTTCCTCACCTGTATACGTTCTCTCAAAAATAAATAAATATTTAAAAAATAAAAAGTGTGAAAACCATTCTTTTTTTCTTTAATGTTTATTTTTGAGAGAGAGAGAGGCAGAGTGTGAGTAGGGGAGGGGCAGAGAGAGAGGGAGAAACAGAATCCAAAGCAGGTTCCAGGCTCCAAGCTGTCAGCACAGAGCCAGACCTAGGGCTCAAACTCACGAACTGACCCGGGAGATCATAACCTGAGCCGAAGCTGGACAGCTTAACCGACTGAGCCACCCAGGCATCTCATGTGCAAACCATTCTTTGAGCTGTAGTTCACTGGCCCCTGGCCTACATATTCAAGAGCGGTAAGAACTCAAACCGACTAAGGGATAGCCACAAACTGAATACCATTTACTCATTAAAATGTTGCATAGAGGGGCACCTGACTAGCTTGTCAACAGAGCATGTGACCCTTGATCTTGGGGTCACAAGTTCAAGCCCCATGTTGGGCGT